AAAAAAAAGAATATGTAGTCTGTCACTCAGGAGGCTGGGTTTGTATTTATAACTTCTTTTTCCACCACCTAGCTATACTTCCTGTGCCCTCAGCCAGGATCTCAGCTGGTCAGGATTCTTTATTTGGCATGGTCCTCCATTGTCTCTTGTTATAGCCTTTGTTTTAAAGTTTATTTTGTCCCGTATAAGTATTGCTATCCCAGCTTTTTTTGTTTTTTTTTATCATTTCCATTTTCATGAAATATCTTTTTCCATTCCTTTACTTTTTTGTCTGTGTGTCTTTCAATATAAAGTGAGTCTCTTGTAGGCAGCGTATGTAAGGGATTTGTTTTCTTATACATTCAACCACCCTATGTCTTTTGCTTGGAGCATTTAATCTATTTACATTGAAAGTAATTGTTGATAGATATGTAGCTATTGCAATTTTAATCATAATTTTGATTTTTTTTTCTGTCTTAAAAAGTCCTTTCTAACATTCCTTGTAAACTGTTTTGGGAGTGGCTCTGGTGCCAGCCCAGGTCAGCCATTGCCTGTGACCAGCCGGGGGCAACCTTGTAGGAGCTACAAAGCAATCTGCAGTTGTTCACTACCTGTGCTGGGTGTTAGGCCATGCTGTGAACTGAGGACAGCTGCCACAAGTACTAGGTCGGGTAGCTCCGCAAAAAGCCCAGGACACCCTGAGGCCTGCTGCCACCTGCCGTCTCCCTTAAGGTTCAGCCACTGATAATGCCTTGTGCAGTATGCGAGTTGGGTGAGATAGGTTTTCAGGGAGTCACTAGAGTGGGAAGAACTGTGGTCACCAGGTTAATGTAAATTCTGGTGCTTATGCTGAGTTTGGAGCAACTCAGCAAAAGTCTCAGAACACACTGAGGCTAGTTGCCTCCCACCCCCGTGGACTCCAATAGTTTTCCAAGAAAGGTTGCAATTTGGGAGGAGCTGGCTGCTCTTGGAGAAAGTGCCTCTAGCGATGTGTGAGTTGTGTGGGGCAGGGTTTCATTGAGTCAACAAGGTGGAGCAGGGGAGCTCACCAGGCCAATCAGATTAAGATTTGGCCTGTGGGGGAGGGCTCAACATAGAAAAGATGGCGCTTGCCTGACGGCTGCATGGGAGGAGGACCTCTCACCGGGAAAATGCCAACTGTCCTCCAGTCCTCCCCCTGAAGCCACACTCCTCAGTCTGCACCCTGTATGTCTACAAGGCCCCTGAATTCACCATCCCTCCGCTGGAGCCCAAGGTGAATGCCTGGAAGTGAGTGAGTCTGTGCAAGGGCGGTTTAAGAGGACATCTCGGTTTCCCTCAGCCTTCCAGCCCATCCAAACTTTCAGAACCCCACTGTTTTTCACAGCCAGATGTTGTGGGGGCTACTTTTCTTGGCACCGGTACTCTGGGCTGGGGAGCCTGGTGTAGGGGGCTGGGTTCCTCACTCCTCGGGGGACAACAAAGGCAGCTGAGATATCCCTCCTGATTCTCAGCCACCCACAGGTGTGGGGCCTGTTCTGCAGGTGTGAGGTGCACTCCACATTTCCACCCCTCCTACTAGTCTTGGCATTGCTTCTTCTTTATATTTATAGTTATAGGACTTCTGTTTAGCTACACTTCCAATGGTTCTCCGGGTTGATTGTTCTATAATTTAGTTGTAATTTTAATGTGTTCACGGAAGAACGCAGGCACAGTGTTTATCTACTGGGCCATCTTGGATCTCTCGATTTGTATCCTTTAATCATACCCTTTGCAATAAGCCTACTGGTAACCTAATGGGTAAGCAGGTTTCCTGAGTTCTGTGAGCCACTCTAGCTGATTAATCAAACGCAAGGAGAGGATCATGGGAACCTTTGATTTATAATCAGTCAGTCAGAAGTGCATGTAACAACCTGGATGTGTGATTGGTCCCCCGGAGCTGGCGGGGGTGGGGGGAGGGGGGATAGAGGGAAGGGGGTTATTGGAACCTCCATCTGTAGCCCCTCAATCAGAAGTGCAGGTAACAACTTGAACTTATAATTACTGTCTGAAGCAGAGGGTGATCTTGTAGGACTTGAACCTGGGGGATCTGGTACTGTCTCCGGGTAGACAGAATTGAGTTGGATTTTAGGACACTCAGCTGGTGTCGGAACATTGTTTATTAGTGTGGGAAACAGTCCCCCTCCCCACTCCCACCCCCATTGGAATTGAAAGCCAAACCCAAATACCCACCAAAAGACTCTCTTATAAAATGTTTTGATGTTTGCTAATTCTGATAGGTAAACTATGATATCTCAATGTCATTCTTATTATGAGGGAGACTGGGTTTCATATATTTAAGAATAATTTTATTTGCTTTTCTGATCATATCTTGACCATTTTTGTATTGAATTGATGGTCTTTTCCTGATTGACTTCTAGGAGTTCTTTACACAGTCAGGATACTAGCCCTTCGTTTGTAAATTGAGCCTGACCAGTGCAGGAACAAACACAAGCTGGTGAGAAGCCCAGGGTGGCTTCCATAGTGTGGTAGGATGAGGCTGGTGGCCAAGGACGGGCAAGAAGGTTGAGGACGAGATGCCTTAACAAGAAAACCTGTTGTGTGCAGGCAAGCTTGACTCTGAAATGGCTGCCTATGTAACTTACTATGGAATCTCTAGGGTATAAGAAGCCCAGGTGCCATGAGGGGGAGTCAGCACTTTTCCTGTCTTCCCAGTGGGAGGAGCTACAGTTGTGTCCTGCTGGTGGTGACTGGTGACTTGTCCCCTGTCCCTCCGGACTGTGAGCAAGGATTCTGGTCCTGATTTATTGATGTGCTCAGCCTCCTCTTCTGTCCAGTAATCACTGTCTCCAGTGAGCCATCCTTTGCTCTGACCTGCTGGACTGTCTGTCAAGTGCTTTCATTTGCTCTCCTTGAAATCACTGACCAGCAGAGGAGCAAGTATTCTTTCCTAGGTTGTCTTATTTTGCCCGAGGTGTTTTTACATCCAAGGTCTTGTTGCTATGGATCTGAATTGATCAATCTTGTCTTTTGTGTGGCTTCTGGAGTTTGAGTCATACTTGAAAAGCCTTCCCTGGGTCTATTTATAGAGAAAGATAAAGGTTTGACAGAGTCACGGGGCAGAGGTGGGAGATGAAGCCAATGGCCCTGGCACAAAAGACGTTTCAAGGAGTGCCAAGGGCCTGGCTTCGTGCCTCAAAGCAGGAAGGAGCAAGTCCAGTTGGCGTCTCCAGGTTCAGAAACTGGCAGAGCTGGTGAGACTGAGAACTGAGGGCGCAAAGCAGAGAAGGGCTGGCAACCGAGAACTGAAGAGATTGACCACGGGGC